CTGCTATCCCCCCAATTTCTCCACACCCTTCCCCCAGTGGGGGCCCCAAAACCGGAAACCGTATTCCAGATGAGGCATCACCAATGTCGAATAAAGGGGAACGATCACGTCCCTCGATCTGCTGGCAGATTACCTCCAGTGCATCATACAAATGCTGCTACTACAACTGCACGAGCAGATTTCTGCATAACACGTAACAGGCGGCTTTCTCTATATGGGAAAAGCTCAGATGCACGTCGTTGTGAGCACTGACACAAATATTTTGTACTTAGGTCTTTCTCCAAACTTCTAAACCCTATTTAAAATAAAACAAAACAAAAACCAACCCTACCGAGAGAGATGTTAACTATTCCACTGCTTTTGACCCTGTAAGGCGGTACAGTATACAATTTCCAGTTTGCATACAGCAAACAGGAGGTTCCTGCCATGTCAGGCAACCAAATTTAGAGGTTTATATTTGAATTAAATTTGCCAGCGTTAAGACTTCCTTTAGCTAACATGGTAAGTTCACAGCTGCCTATAGGCTCCTCCAAAGATAAGAGGTTTGAGGAAAGAGTATTCCACAGGCAGGACCGTGGCAGTTTCATGGTGGAGTATTTTACAGAATGTACCCTACTTGTTCAGAGCTACTTTGGGGATTATATTGAAAAGAAGTGAATCAGCTGTGTTTTTTCTCCTTTTACTGCTCCTACCTAATCAATCTGGGGTGTTGCTCGTTTTAGACATAAAATACTTTAAATCACAAAGTAAAAGCAATGGCTAGGATGTCAAAAAGAGAGAAATGATTTTAGCTCTGTCAGTTTTTGAGGGGCCCGATTTCTGCCCCTTTAAAGGCTCTGGATTTTCACTAAGTGCTGAGCACCCACCTGTGAAAATCAGCCCCCCTAAAGGGGGTGTGGCTGGGCACCCCAGATCACTAGCCACTTGTGAAAATCCTGGCCAGTGAATCCTGATGAGCTTTGTCAAAGAGAACGCACTATATTATACCAGGTTAGAACTTGACCATGCAAATCTTATTCCAACATCCTACTCTCTGCATGTACGTACCCTGAGTAATCTTTCTCTAGGATATAAAGCCTCCTGCTAAAGGCTTAAACCAACATTGAGCTATTGAGGGCAGAAACTTTCCATGGGGTCAGGTTATGCAGGGTTTCTGGCACCTTCCTCTAAAGCAGCTGGTACCAGCCACTGCAGGAGACAAGATAGAGCTCTGGTCTGATTCAGTCTAGCAATTCTTGTTTGTTCTGATATAATCCTACAGAGTTTACTGGGACTGTTCATGTGAGGAAAGATTACTCATGTGATTAAGGGTGGGTTTAAGGCGAAGGGCCCAGTTGGCAAATGAAATGGAGAGACCAGCATCAGTTTCAGGAGAGTTCTAGCCCAGAAAATGAGGGATACCTTTCCATCAGACTGGGAGAGGCAGTAACAGGTAGGGGAGAAACGCAGGTGCTGTAGAGACAGTGCTTGGAAGGAACTAAGGGCAAGCCAGGGGCCGGGAGAAGAAAGAGGCAGGGATAGTTGTAATTTTTTTGTGACTCTTAACTGCCCCCTGCTCCTCTACTGCATTGCATGGAACAAGACACCGATCCCATGGGGCTAGGATAAGCATGTCTGAGTCACTAGTCAGCAAATGCACACAGTCACTCATCTAGTTACAGCCTA